TGAAGAAGAAAATTCTTCTTCCATTGTATAAATCAGATTAGAGATTCATTTCTGTTTTTTTTTTCTTTTGTTTTAGAGCATTCACCATTTCTATTAGTTTGGCTCGCTTCGTTGGTTTATCGGACCAGGCTGAAGATTTGACTTGACGATAAAAGTTTAGACAAATCGCTAGTATCATCCAAATTTCTGAAAAATAGATTGATATCTGCTAGGAATAGTACTCGGGTGTCAGTGCTCCGAAATATTAACAAAAACCCACTGGGCCATATTGCTTAGAAATGAAAATTTGAAATTTCTTTTATTTTTTATAAATTATTATATAAATTCTTAAATTCCTTTATTCTTTATAAATTCTTTTTATAAATTCTTTTATTTTTTTTTAAATTATTAAATTATAAAATTATTTTTTTTCGCTTGAAAATTTTTATAATTTTTATAATTATTATTTAGATTATAATTATTTCAATTAATAATTCAAATTATTTTTTTTTTTAAATCGAATTTTTAATTTCATTTATTTAAATAAATAAATATTTTAGAATTTATTTTAATAAATATTAGTTCCTATTTTAAATTACGAAAAATTTCAATTTCAATTATTGCAATTGAAAAGTGTTTCGTTTTTTCTTTTATTAAATATATTAAATTCTCAAAAGAAGAGATTTCGATTAAAAATATTTTTATTGTTTTTTATGCTGACGAACGAATGAACGATTATAAATAAAATTCCACATCGATATGTACAAAAAAAAAAGAAAACTTTAACATATCATTTTATTTATTATGTAAATACAAAATGATATTTGGCTTAATCATTTTATTTGATTGATAGATAGCTTTTGCTCAAATAATTCTCCGAAAATTTTCATTTTAACACCATTATCATTTTTATCAATCGATTAATTCATTCTCCTCTCCCCATCAATTATTATCGTTTATTATCATTATCATTACTACCATTATTACTACCATTTTTATTTATATTGTTATTTATTATTTGAAGAAGAAATTTATTTTTGAGGTTTATTTTTTTCATAAGTTAATTAATAATTTTTTTTAATTTTAAATAAAAATGAATTAAAAAATTCTTATTTGCTAGTGAACATTTTCTCTTTGCTATATATTTTTTATAGAAATTTTATGAATTAATATGAATTTCTCGTTCTGAAGGTACTACTATTGTGTGGCTTTAACTGACTATTAGGATATAAAGGAATTTCAGAGGTACTTTCTTGGTGCTTTCGAGCCTACACGATTCCTCCTTCTAGCTAATGGTATCTATACCCATATAATATAACTGCCATCTCTCTTTATCACTTCAAATCTTATATCTTTTTTTATGCCATTTCTCTAGTATTCAATTTTTTTTCTCTAAAGGCGCCATGATTAAGGCTCGCTTCGCTGGAAATTTTTAGGGACTAAATTAGATTTTTGTCGGAGAGTTATTTTTTCGATAGAAATACAAGTGGATTGCTAATCATGCTTTTCATCCAGATGCTTTTTGCTTAATTGTGATTTATTTCTGCCGAGCGATTAAGAAAATATCAACATAGGGCGTCTAGTAACGAAAATAATAGTTTAACCAATAATCATGTTGCAAAAACATTTAATATTTTTTTCGTCATGAATATTTTCGCTGAGCTATATTTTATTGGATTTTTTATTTTTTAATATTATTTAAAATTAAAAAATTGGTTATAATTTAAAATTTTTATTAAAATTTTTATTATTATATTTTTATTAAATTTTTTATCATTTTATTTTTTAACAAATATTAAAATGAAATAAAAAAATAATTGAAAAACATTTAAATAATAATTTTTTAATTTTGAATATAAAAATTTCCTCTTTTCGTTTAAAATAGTTAGTATGAAATTTAAATATGAAATTAAATCTATAAATAGCAATTATCGAATTCGTTATGGTACCACTGAAGCGTGAATATCTTCACTATTTGAAATCGATTTTCATATTTTAATTCTATTTTTTTCACTAGTTTTAATGTGGAGAAAAGAGAAAAATGATTAGTTTGGATATGAGAGTGGGAAGGATTTAGGCAAATCCAGAAATAAAAAGAGAGAAATTATGGTTTGAATTCAGTCATAAACTCGATTATTTGAAATATATATATTTATATATGCTGTTGAAAAAGGAAAAAGATGAATATTAATGAGTGATGATAGTGATTGATAAAAATTGGCCTAAATTGCTTTTCACTTGAATTGCTTAGAATGGCGCCTTATCGAACCAAATTTTTGCCAAGGAATCAAAGGTTTTACTTCTCGGATTGGAACTGCAGTACTCGGCTCTCCAAGATGAACAATGAACAATAATAACTCATTTAATAAGCGACGTTTAAAATATTTTAGTTATTTTGAGTGAACAAATTATTCTAATCGAGAATGGAATCAAGATCTTAACGTTTTTTTTTTTTTCTTCAACAATATTTATCATTTTTCCTTTGGTTTGCCGCAGTGATTATCGTTGAATTAATAGTTTTTCATGATAGAGGGAGGTGGATAGGAATATGAATGAGTCGGTAGCGCAATTTGATTGCAGGTGAAGGGATAAGAAGCTAATTGTCCCTTATCTTTTAGTCGTTATCTCCTTATCTTTTAGTCGAAATAATTTGATCTCATTCGACCAATCTGATTATTTGCGGTTTTAGATGGTTTAATAAGTTTTTTTTTTGCACATTGACAAAAAAATAATGCGCATGTGCCATGCAACCAGTTTAATAATTATTATTATATCGGTAGTTCATTGATCGAAAGGAAGAATGGCATTTAAAGTGGTGGTGGGGGGGGAGGTTAAACGAATGGATGATCTATGTTGTTGTTGTTGAACCTTTATCCTTCATCATTCGCCATAATTGCCATACTTATTTGTATATATGTATATATAACAGCTGCCTCGAAATGAAATCTTCACATTTTACAGTTCTTTCTTACTAAATGAAACCGGTCAGAATTAACTATTTTTATGAAAAATATGGCTTTATGCGTTATCAGAAAATTATACGCTTCGTTAAAGAATTATCAGTCAATTGATAAATTTTTGAAAATTAATAAGTTAATTGATAAATTTTTTTAATAATTTAAATTGAGATAATCGAGGATTTTTGGTATATAAATTAGTGCTTTTCGTTTTCGTTTTTTATAACGACATTTGCCATCATTTGTTGATTGATTTAAATGATTTGCTAGAGAGATTCGACCATTCGGCTATTTTATGCATTGATTTAGTGGGTAAAAGTAAATTAGGTGGTCACTTTTAACGATTTAACTTTAGTCTTATCAATGAATCGAACGAAGTTGAACCTCATGCTGTGTTTAATCTCAGCAGGTATAAGGAAGGATTCGACGGCCATCTTCATTCATAAATATGTTTTTCTTTTAAAAATTATTTTCAGTAAAATTTTATTTTTAGCGTTTTTTTTTAAATATTTTTTTCGAAAATAATAAATAAAAAAATAAAAATTTCTATCTAAAAGAATTCTTAGCAAATTTTTTTTTTAAATATTATCATATCACTATTATCAATTTTTTAATGAAATTTTTTGATATTTTATTGATATTATTTTTATTATTTCTTTCTATTTATTTCTTTATGAACTTATTATTTCCTCAAACTTCTCACCTCGTTTTAAAATTAAATTTCAACAACATATTTATTATTGAAAGCTGTTTATCATGAAACATGTCAGTCGCTACGACTCATCCCAAAATGTATCACTACGACTTAGGTTAAAACGTATTAATATGATTCATTCTGGAATTCGCTGTTACTTCTAAGTATTTTAGCAAATTTTTTTCTTTAAAAATTATCATTTTATCAATGATTATCATTGATTATCGCATGAAATTTTCCATTTTTTCATGCCTCATTTCTATAGAATAAAAAATATAAATTCTAATTTTTGATTTTTTGAATAAATTTTTTGATTTATTGCATGCTGAATTATTAGCCTAATTCGTCATGAACTAACCAAAGATATCGCAATAATATAATTTTTATAAAAAGCTTAACTACGATTTCTTAATTTTGTTGTGTGGTTTCATAGCTTTTTTTTCCCTCTCGGCCAACAAATTTATTCCGATTTTAATGAGTTTATAGTCTTTTTAACTGTTAAATAACGTGGATTTGGAGAAAAAATTTCTAGAATAATGGAGTATAATCTAACAGAATAAAGAGATTAAATGGATTAATTCGAACGGTAGATTTCGAATAGATTAGTTGATGATTTTTCATTAACGATTCAATGAGCAGTTATTCCTCAGTTTTCAACTATTATTTATCAGTTATCAGTTATCATAGCTGTTACTTATTGTCAATTTATTTGATTATGCTAAATTATTATTTTGTTTATTGTTTTAATGGGTTGTATTTTTTGGAAAAAGGGTACCGCAATGGATCATTTTTGATATTTAAAAATTACGAAGTTCATCATTGATGAATTTTAAAAATTAATGTGGAATCGCTGAAGTCCCAAATTATTCGCGTGGCATTCCTTTTAGTTCGGCTATTGTTAAATCCTCATTGTTCTCTCTTGGAACTCGTAATTCCTGTTAGTCTATCTATTTTACCGGTCGTTTTATATTACTCTTTGCAATTTTATAATTCGTCATGTCACTTACATTGGTAAAGCATTAAGGGAACTTAATGGAATTGGTTGGTATTAAAGGTTCTGGCGAAATGCTATAAATCCGTTAGAGAGAATGGATTATATGAAAATAGAAAGTATGTGGGGGGGGGGGGGGGGGGGAGGAGGGAGGACGTTTTAAAAAGATATTTTTAACGGGATTAGAGAAAAAAAATATGGCTGATTTAAGTAAATGCTAAAGGATTTTTAGTCGAGATTCCCCAATTTGAGTCATTTTATATTCCCCTTTGCAATTTTATAATTTATAATTTGTGCTGTGGTTCGGTTGGTGTCGAGTTTTTCTCGGACACACAACATATCAGGCATGCAGATAATTTTTTGTATTTTAGTGACAGCAATGGCAACACGTCTCAGAGAAGATCGCGATTCAGCGAATTGCTTAAGGAAAGCAAAAAAAGTATGATTTTGATGTAAATGAATTTTATATCAGCGATTCATATACTTATTGGTTATTCGATACCACGCTAACTATCGCCTAGTATACTATTACTATCGATACTATTGGTACTTATGATGATTCTTTCGATTCTTTTGTAATACTCTCGACTATCAAATAGCCTAAGTCTAAGGCCATTTTTTGCAATCCTTTTGGACCTAAAAATTTTCGTTGAACTTCCTCTTCTATTTATTTCTCCATTTCTTCTTTCTTTCTTTCATCATTTTTTGTTCTTTTTTTTTAATTGTGAAAAAAAAAATGGAAAAAATTATAATTTAATTATTGGGTCTATGATAATGTTATCGAATAATCCATAAGTAATTATCAGCGTCTTATTTTTGTGTCGGCAAAATTGTTTCTTCTTCATTCTTTATTTATTGAGCGCAATTCACTTATTACTAAATTTCAAAGAGGTTTACCTCGATTAAAATCAGGTTGAACTCATTAAATTTCTTTTTTCTTTTAAGTATCAAGAAGAAAAGAAGAAAGAATAATGACTTTTTGATATGATGAATTTTTTTCTTTTTAAGGTATCAGTACCAATTGTACCAGATATTATCAATATGGACCTTGGTCGAACCGTAAAATTTATGGATGAACAAAAAGCCGAACTTAGTAAAACTTTTTTGCAACAAATATTCATTGAACTGATTGAATATAACTGATAAATGATATAAAAGTGATAACTGAAGTGATAAGTGGTTTATTAAATTTATTTTATTTTTTTATAGGTCATAAATATCCGTATTTTCGTCCAAATATTTTAAATCTACCATCAACAAGTTCAACAAAACAACCAGTGCGACGATATATTTCTCATAAAGCAGATCCACTATTAATGAATTATTGCATTTATTCTGGTTAGTTGTTGCTTCCGTTCTGCTAATTTATTTCTTCTTTTTATTCTTATATTTTATTCTATTTATCGTTGATTTAGGTCGCTATGCTTTTCCTCTTCATCGTCTATTAGTCCACATAATTTCTGGTTGACCTTGTTGGCTATTTATCATCTCTTAAGTCACCTGTTACGATATGAAGCTAACTGAATTCAATTCACTACGACCCTTAATGTTTCTCGTGGACCTTCTATTTCTTATGATAGTTAAAACCTAAATTAGCAGAGATCGCAATATACTTTTCTTATAAGAAATCTCATTGTTTAGACAAAACAATAAGAACAATATAATAGTTCTAGTTCTTATATACGTTCACAATATTGTCGGTTTTCAGAAAATTTTTTTTTTTAACCAATAAATTTTAATAAATTTTAAAATTTTTACTTTTATTTTTATTTTGATAATAGTTTTAAATTTTAATTTTAATTTCAATTTTAAATTTTAATTTTAAATTTTAATAATTTTGATTTTAATTTTAATTTAATTTTAATTTAATTTTAATTTTAATTTTAATTACAAAATAGCACCAAATACACAAAAGTACAAAATAATGGTACTTGATCGATCGATGAATGGAGTTTGTTTTGAAGAATTCTCCAGAAGAGTTGATAGAAATTAAGTCTTAAGCGTCTTTTTAATGGATTTTTAGGATTTTAATACGTTTTTTTGTAGATTAAACCATTAGATTTGGTAAAATGAACAGATTTTGCCTCGAATAAAGAATTTCAGTTAATCGTAGGAGTATGAAGAGTCGAATAGTTCAGTGGATTGTTCCTTAATTCGGTGTAAAAATTTTATACTCTCCGTAGGAGTCCAAAATGTTGACAACTCACCTGTATTTTTGTCGTTAAGAGACTCTTTAGCCTATTGGTCCAGTGCGACAAGCCAGCGGAATGAGTCTAACCAGTAGTGAGACGAGGGCTTTTTAAAAAAAAAATTCTAGGAGTATATAAATTAATAAAATTATTATTACGGGTATTTTCTGCTAATAGCAATAAATATCAAAATATGTTAATAGATTGATTATTATTGTTAAATATAAATATTTATTGCTAAATATTATTTTTATTTTTATATTTAATACTAAATATTATTTTTATTTTTATATTTAATACTAAATATTATTTTTATTTTTATATTTAATACTAAATATTATTTGCTAAATATTATTTTTATTTTTATATTTAATACTAAATATTATTTGCTAAATATTATTTTTATTTTTACATTTAATACTAAATATTATTTTTATTATTAATTATTGATTGCCATTACTATTACTATTATTCTTTTTCATCTTTTTTAAATTTCTTCTCTTAAATTTGGCTTTAAAAGTAAAAAATATTAGTTTGGTTATTGGCTAATTCAATAAAAAAGAATAAGAGAAAAAACTGTATAAAATTGTCAACTGAAAAAAAAAACATTGGAAAAATTTTTTATTCCAAATGATTAGAAAATAATTCTAAAAAAAAATTTGGAATGTGAAAATATTTTTTTTTAAACAAAGATATTATCAAGAAGAAAATTATTTTAATGCATTTCGTCTTTTTAATAACTAAAAATCCCTTTATGAAATTTCTTTTTTTTTTATATTTTTCAAAATCTAAACGAATAAGCATTTTTAAAAAAAAAAACTTTCTTTTTCACTTGTTCCTTTAATTTTTCCTCAATTGAATCCGTTTGAATAGTCAATAAATTCATTTTGTGCTAAAAGAAAAAAAAAATCATCATCATTTATTTTCGAAATTTTCAAAATTTTATTAAAAATGTTTTATTTGATTTATTGAAGATGAAGAAGATAACGGATGAAGTGCCTCAATTTTCAGCATTTCATCTCATTAAAATTCAACAGGAACATCAAAATATGTTAATGGATCGATTATTATTATTATTTCTGTTATTATTATTATTTCTATTATTATTATTATTTTTCATCTTTTTTTAAATTTTTTATTATTTTAAATTCGATTTTAAAAAGTATAAAAATATAAAGTATGAAGTATAAAAATAAAAAAAAAATGTGGAACTGTTTATTTCTTATAAAATATTTTTAATATTTTTTTTTATTTATTGAGATTTTTTCTAGATTTTTATCTATAAAAAATTTCACCTATGACTTATTTCAAATGAATTTATTTCAGTTTATAGCGAAAGGATTCATCGTAATTTAAAGCACCAAAGGTATTAGTAATTATATCAAAAAATTACACCAAAAAATTATCGAAAATAAACCGAATTGCGATTGAATCGCCGTTATATAGGTGTATTGCGGGTGATAGTACCGACTCACTTGTATTTCTATCGCCGAGGGATTCTCTGGTACATTTGTCCAATACGAAAAGTGGGACGAGTTCCAGTAATGGTGAAAGCACCGGGCTCCAGTGGAAATCGAAATCACTCTCTCTTGTACCTCTTGCTTGGTGATAAAATGACTCAGTGGGTTGTTGCTAAATTCGCCGATGCTGAGGGATTCTATTCCCGTAGGAAAAGACCTATGCAAAAATCCGGTGGTACTAGCAACTCACCTTTACTTCTGTCGCCAAGGGATTCCTTGATATATTTGTCCAGTGCGACAAGCCAGCAAAGCAAATTTAATAATAATAGTGAGGACTTTTAAAAAAAAAGTCCTTCTTGTAGCTTTTCCCATTATTCCCATTATTGAGCATATGCGAAATAGTTTGGATGGTCGCTATAAGTCACCACATTTGTATTAAAAATTCGCTTTTAAAGAAATCAAATAGCATTATTCAGCAAACACATTACGACCGTTCGAAATCAATTCAATTTTCATAATTGTATTTACATAATCAATTAATGCAATCGTATCGTAATATATAAGATGGTTAAAATAGCGGTAGTGAATTGTTGGTTTCATTTTGGAGCGGTAGAATCCAAGTAAACCGTAGGATCCAAGTCTTCCACAAAAATCGCGGTGGTACTGGTGATTTTCTCGAAGTGATTGCCTACCTAACAAAGTTTTTCTCTTCGTCTACTCTACGAATAAATCAGCGGAATGAACCTAATTAGGAAATATTTTTGATTATATATTCGTAGAAAAAAATATATCAGGTTTATACGGTTCCTTCGTATCGTTATCACTAATCTATGCCGGAATGTGAATGTGAAGTAAAAATTTAATGTTTAAGCGAAATTTGGAATTTTCTTATTTTTCTCCTTAATTTATTTCTCAAAATTATTTAAATATTAAAATCAATTAATGCCTTAAAATATTTATTATTTATGCATCAATGGAATAATAATAATAATTATACGATAATTATAAAATCAATTTAGACTTTCGGAGGCATAAAATCGAGTCATAGTTTTGTTTCATTTCCATTTACAGCCCATAGCACTTATTTCTTCTATTTTTATTTTACTAGTCTAGAGGAACCTCCGTTATTTTCATTTTAATTGCAATTTGATTCATGTTCATTCAAAATGCATTATATGTAAATATATTGGGGAAGAGAGAAGCCAGATTGGCTTAGTGCGTTTTTGCCTTCATTTTGGAGCATTGATATTGGTGTTCTATTCACAGTTGAGTTTTTAGACTTGTCTAACGAAATATAGGATAATGCTGGAGGCGCTTAGTTGTACTTCTGTCGATATGATTGGCTTATTTTGCGAGTGATAAGAAGAGTGAATCAACTGAGTGAGTGAATCTAATTAGAATTGATTGGTACTAGGTTTGCTCTCTAATAGATCCTCGTTAATACGTTTAAATTATACCCATAAGCACTTAAACGCTTATTTTTCTTCTCCATATTCATTTCGATTATTAGTTTTATTATTAGTTAAAATATGTTTTTAAAATAAAGGACGACAAATGTGTAGATTTGCATAGCATATTAGTTTAGATCTTTATCTTTTCGGCTCGATTTATAGTCGTATTATTCTTTATTGTTATCTCTTCAATCTGTTATCCTTTATATATTTTAATATATAATGTCTTATAGTCTTATATATACAAATTTTTCAAATGTTCAAGAAGATAGAAGATATTCACTAATTTTGAAGAACAACCTAAATTAATTAATTAAATAAATTAGTAATGTAATATTAATTATTTAGCATTTTCTCTTCGTTCGAACAACATGCACACTATTCATTCCGTTGATATAGGGTTATATCTTAATGGATAAAAGAAGAAGAATCTTGGCTAGAGAGAATCTCCAGTAATTATCACCTAGTATTCTTTTCAGTTTTAATGAACACTCTCGTTAAGAGAATGAGAATTAAGAGAATGAAGAAGAAATAAGCCTTAATTATCTAATATCTTATCGTTATTTTTGTTTTAAATCTTTTATGGATTTGTAATTTTCGCTATTTTTTGATAAATCGTTTATTTTATAATTTTATTTATTTTATATCGTAGTTCGTTTATTTTTATCGTTTGCTGATTTTATTTTTTTTTCTTTTCAAAATTTCTCTCACAAAGTTCGAATGGAATTTCATGATTTCTTGATATTATCAGTTATTATCAGTCATAATCGATTGATAATATCAACAAAGTTTCATAACTAAATTTTTGTTTACATTATCAACTCTTCTTAATGATATTACCTATTCATTCAATATTCATTACCTATTAATTATTAATTAATTATCGCTATTCGTTTATATATGATTATTATTTATTATCATTATTTATCATTATTTTAAAAATGAAGAAAAGAGGTGAAAAAGATGAAATATAGATAATATAAATTACAAAAAATATGAATATAAACGAAAAAAGAGATAATTAATTAGTAAAATGATAATTATGCGAAGAAAAAATTTTTAAAAATTGCTAATTTTAATATTGTTAATGTAAATCCAAATAAAAATTATGTAAATATTGAAATTTTGAATAAAATTCAAACATTAAAATTCAAATAAAAATTCAATTATTAAAATTTTAAATAGTTTTTATTATGTTTTCATTTTTCATTCTTAGTGATTTTTTTTTCCTTTTTTTTAGTGAAAAATTCTCATATCGTCTATCCACGCTTCGAATTTTTTTTACTCATTTATATATAAATTATCAATATTTCTAAACATTTCTAAAAAAAATTAATACCTCAAATACGGATTAACGAGAAAGACGATAATCGCTTTAATAGTCAAATGTATTTTTAGCGATTTATTTTTTATTGACTCGCACTATTATTAATTTGGTTTGTTCCCATAGGTGATTAGACTAGGTGACTAGGCTGAACGTTTTTGGCCACTTAGTCCTTTCGAAGAAATCGATTTTAATAAATAACAGATTTTCGTTCCTTTAAATTTTTTTTAGAGGAAAAATATTTAGAGGAATATTTTAATGTGCAAATATTTTAAATATTTAATTGAATTAGAAATTAAAAATTTCCGCTTAAAAAAATTATTATAATTAATATCAAAATTATTATATTTCTTTTCTAAAAAGTTCTTTTTTTTTTTTCTTTGCAATAAATTGGATAAATTTTGATAGATTTTCGGGTTCGTTTTTTTCTTCTAAAAGTACTGCTCGGCATTTACTGATTAAATTCGTTGCGTTGCTTATTTTGGAAGCAGAAAAATTTTACCCAACGAACAAGAAGCACTTAACGAAATCGCCAGCATTATCTTCGAATTTTTATTTCTGCCTGGAAAATAGAACCCTAATATGGTCGTTTCGAAATGCTAGTAATAACCCATTGAGCTAATTAATCGGTAACGAAAAGATTTTGTGTAATAAAATTGATTTGATAAAGAAAAAACGACAATGCGATATGCATAAAATTAGACTGCATTTGTTTTTTATTTAAAAATATAAAAGTGTAATGGAGAAAAATGAAAGGAAAAATTTTTATAGTTCCTTAAATTTCGCATTCGCTTAGCGTTCATTTTCTTTTCATTTTTTCTTATATATTTATTCGTTGAATGAATTTTTTAAATTTTTTCCTATTTTTTCTTTTACGCGAATTTAAAATGCACGACGTATATATTATTAAAAAAAGAAAAAAAAAGAAATTATACAAATTTTTTTTTTTTCACATAGAATTTAGCATTTTTAGCCTATTTAGACATAGCGAGGTAAATAAATAAAAAAATTTTATGAAATCTGATAAGAAAAATTTGATTTATTTATTTTCAAAACTTATTTTTATATTTATATTTTATATTATTATTGAATTCAATTCTCTTAAATTTTTAATTTTTATAAATTTTATCTTTTGTAAAAAAATTCTTTAGAAAAATTTAATTTAAAATTCGAAAATATTTGCAAATTTTATGTCAATTTATTGCTATTTTGTTAATTGTCAATATAAAAATTTAATATATTTTCATTCTATTATCGAATTTCTTCTTTAGTTCGTCGTAATTGATTTTTGCGAATAGGCGAATGAATATTTTTAATATTTTTATTCGTTTTATTCGCATATATCTTAAAATAAGTGCGATAATAATTTTATTTGAGAAAAATCTACGAGTGAAAATAAAATTTGATAAATTCTTAAAATAAAAAAAAAATCAAAAAATGAATAGTTTATTTTTTTTTTTATTTGTAAATGAAAACAACTAAGTGATTGTTTAGCAAAATTTTCGCGACAAAACCGATAAGCTAATGAAATGAGCCTCAATAAAAATGATAGACTCGCTTCGCTTGGCTTATCGCACTAGACGAATTATGTTAAGAGAGTGCCTTGGCGATAGAAGTACAGATAAGTCCCGAATTTTTAGACAGATTTAGGCACATGCGGGGAATTGAACCTCAGCATCGACGCTCTGAATTGTGCATTAACCCACTGAGCCATTCTGTGGCCTGGTGATTGCTTATAGAGAAAAGAAAAAAAAATGAAAAATTGAAAAATGGTCATTTTTTTATAATTATCATTTTTATCACATAAATCATTTATCTTCTGTGTTTTATTTATTAATTATCGAATTTTATTAGAAATTTCTTATTAGATATAGATTTCTAGGATAAATTAAATTCACCTTTTGAGGTGTCAATTTTGCGATCGTTCGGATGGTGCACATGGAAATTTAAAATATTAAAATAGCTTTTCTTGATTGAATCGGTTGATTATATTTATAATTATAAAGTATATCCAAGACTAATTCTAAAAAATTCCTATTCCCTATTAATTTAGTGTGGAATTCTTGAATAGATTTTAAGATTTTTCCCTTGGGTCTTGAAATTTTTTATTAGTATTTAGCGTTATACGAAATAACGACGGGTATAAAAGCGCTTCATCGAAGAAGATCTCTCAACGATTCTATTTTCTCATTCAAACCAATTCTAGAATTAGTCATTTGATATTTTTGATTCTCAAAAATATTTTCCTTTATTTTCATAATTCTTATTTATTTTCATAGAGATTCCATTCTTCATTGCATTAAAAGGGAATTTATATAGAAAAAAATTTTTTTATTTTCTCTTAATAATTTTATTATATTATAAAAATTAAATTACAATAAATATGATCATAAAGAATAAATCATTTGCTTGGCTGCTATTAATCTCGTTGTTGAATTTATTTGCTTTATGTCTAAGACTGATACGATTAGATTTTTATAGCCAATGAGGAGGACGGAGAGAGACAACCATAATAGTGGAGATGATTAGAAAAAGAAGTTTTTCTCGGATGCAACCTGTCTTTATCTTTTCTAATTTTTCTGGAAATTCTTTCCTTTTTTTTTTTAGTTTATCAAATCCTTTCTTCTTAACTATTTTTTTAAATTAAATTTTTGTAATAATAATAGATCTTTTTTTTTTTTTATAGATTCATCAATGAATTCTATGAATCGAGCATCAGATTATGCTTATACTTCGCACAATATTTCTGTGCCAACAGAAGAAGGAATTCAAACTCACTATGCAGCGCATAATTTGGATGATTTTGGTTTTATCGAATGTCATTCATCAGGTTCAAATTCAAGTCAAGGCAGTTCATCAGGTTTCGAGAGTATGAAGGTTTGTTTTGTTTTTAATAATTAATGAGGAGGAGAGAAGGGGGATAATTCTGTGTTTTGCATTTGGATATTTTATAATACTTATGATTTGCTGTATTTTTTAAGTTCATCATTATTGGTTAGACTCGCTTTACTAGCTTATTATCATACTGGACAAATATATTAAGGAGTCTCGTAGCGATAGAAATACTAGTGAGTCGCCAGCATCACCCGGATTTTTCGACAGATTTATATCCTGCGAGGAATGGAACTTGTAGAATCTTAGCATTTTGCGCTCCGAATTAAGCAACAACCCACTAAGTATTCCACTGCAATGGGCTACTTTTAAAGAGAACTGAGAACGAACTGTGTTCGGGATCCGGGCCATCTTCTATTTTTATAGAGCGAGTCTTTGGATATTTTACTGCTCACATTTTATTTAATTCAACTCATTTCACTGGCAATAATCGACCATTTATATCTTCCGCTTTTATTTTATACGGTTTATTACACAGGCAGTAGTTCAGTTCACTTTTATAATATTTATTTGCAAATAATTTCGTAAAGTTTGCTGGTAGCTTCGATTTGTAATATTTGCGGTTATATTCGTAGTTTACAAAAATGGATCAAAAGGATAGAAAATATTTTTTGAGAATTCTTTGGAACTTTTTCGATTTATTTCCGAAATCCGTATATAATTTTAAAAAAATTCAATAAATTATTACCAATTTTCGAGAATAACTTATTTATTAAACCGATTATTACTAAAAAAATCCTTTAAAAAATGGTTTTTCACAATTTAAAATTAAGCTTTAAAAATTAAAATTTAAAATTAAAAATTAACTAAAAATCAGCACTTTTTTTTCAGCAAAATTGTTTAGCCACATGGAAAGGTGTGATATTGAAAATTTATTAAAGATTTATAAAGATTTATACTATCTATATTTAGTTTGTTTCGTAGCTATGAATAATATAACAGTGAAGTTGTGCCTCTCCGGCATTATAACGCAATTTTTTCTAAAAATGCTAACCACAACTGATAAGGCTAGTTATCAAGTCAGGTAAATTTCGCCGTTTGACTGTTAAACTCCCAATATTATCTAGATTTTTGAAGGATAAGATTTATTCCGCTGACGTACAAAATCAGGTAAATTTTGCCAGGAAGCCATTTAGCGATACAAATGAATCACTAATACTAGTCGGAGTTTTGGAATTTTAAATAGGTTTATTCTTGCCGAGAGTAGAATAAAAGCGTCGGCATTCCAAAATAAGATCGACTATCCGCTAAGCCATTTTACTCCTTACGGCCTCACAATGATAGCAGTGCGAGGCCTGAAAATTGCAACTATTTCTATTGAATCCGACATTGATCTACTAATTTCTCAAAAAACCGCATTTCGGATATGTTACAAGTTTTATGTCCTATTTTTTTTATAATAAAAATACAAAAATCAGTGAAACTATTCAGTTTATTTTTTATGCTTTATTATATATTTTATGTGAGGTTCTATTCCCCGCAGAAGTCTGAAACTTGTCCAAAAATTCGATTGATGCTGGCGACTCATCTGTACTTTCATCATTAAGAGACTATCTGGCATATCTGTCCGGTGCGGCAAACCAGTAGAGCGAATCAATGATAAGGGCTTTTAAAAAAATATAAGTTTTATATGCTGTCAAAGATAGTTATAGATTTAAATCTATTTGGTGGATTATGTTTTACGAACGTTGGTCATCTAAAATTTGCCTCATGCTTAAGCTAACAAAAAGGAATAAATAAATAAAAATTTTATTAATAAATAAATAAAATTTTGAAATAAAAACAGATAGAAAAAATTTTTAATAAACATTCTAGAATTTTAAAATTATGAAATATTAAAGAGTTACGGAAAAATATGGGCTTCTTCCGTTTTCGCTAGAATTTACTAATGTTCCGTAAAAACTATTGTACTATATGCGAAACCAAAACCATTGCTTTCGAAATTCTCGGATATTTCCTATAATCAATTATTGCGGTGGAAATGTATCCTAAATTGGAACCAAAAGATTGGACATAATATTAATTTATTAAATAAGTATTGATAATTTATAAATAGATGATAAGTATGATTGTTCTTAACGCAGATAGATTTAAAAGCTTTTATTTTCATAGAAGTATCATCAAATATATATATGTGAAAAAATGATTTTTTAATGGGCTAAAATGGGAAAAATTTATGATCATTTGCAAATTCAATTTATTTTTTAATAATTTCCTATGTAAAATCGGTGAAATTTTTATTTCTTTCTGGTGAAAAATTTCTTTCTAATCTTTTTCAAATAGCAATCCTTTATCTTATAAATTTTCTAATTTCTATTTGATTTTCTTATCGTTATGGTACTTATGAGAATCGGTTTTGCTCTTTGCCCCTGCAAATTTGGTCGGCTTTCGAGCTTTCTTTATCATTATGGTACTTGTGTGAATTTAATCTATTGTAATTCTCCCTTTCCCCCAGATTTCTAAAAGGCTTTCAATCTTCTTTAATGTTATAAAAATCAGAAAAAATTGTGTATTTTTCTCTTTAAAGCAGAATGACTTTCTTAAACTCCCTATTACGCATCCACTACATCGGAGCTTTTTATAATAATATTTAATATGTTAACCCATAGCGTATGCAATCTACCACATTGCCAGTTTTACCAATAAAATTAGTTCACCATGTATTAGATATCGGAAGAATTTGGTAGGTTTTAAAGGAGAAATGTTTTATGGGATATAACGTATGCATGATTGGAAAAAACCTATCTCTTCTAAGTGTTTTCCATACCTCTTTTTATCACATCTTCCTCTTTTGAACCCATTTTGCGTTTAAAGTTCCACTTCACTATGATTCGTTCGTATATCCTCTTAGACCTCTCGTAATCTTTCAAAATTTCTCTGATAGCTTCCTGAGAATCTTTCCTAAGGTTAGCCAAATGGCTGTTGCAGTTGGAATAAATGAATGTTATCCAATCTTTTTTCTCAAAAATCCCGTATCGTATTAATAGTTTGTGGAGTTAAAATGGTAAGTGCATGTACTTATTTACACAATATGCCTGGAAGATCCACTATATTCGTTTAGTAAAACACGATAATTGCTTTTAATTCTCTTGCCTTATTTTAACTCTATCAGATGGTATAATAAAACCAGCTAGTTATAGTTTATTAATACTTATAGGGAAGCCACCTATATCTGGGCTTACAGTACTGGTTGATGCTCCTTAGAGCATTAATGTAACATTCGAAGTATCTTCCGAAATCTCGCCATTAGCTATTTGTAGCACTGTTTTAAATCTCATTTTCGTGTCTAAATACATTTCATACTCCACTGTTATTTGTTCGTTTATCATTAAATTTGCTAAATCGTTCGCAGATTCGCAGTTCATTTTTCGCAAAACCACATTTGTTAAAAGTGATAAATTTGTCGAAGAATTGGCGTGAAGAAGCTATCGCAAAACTATAGTAGGGCTTTGGACGTATTCAGGAAGAAATATGGGGATTTGAGACATGCGAAAATAATGCAGCAGGGTATTAAGGTGATTCGATGGATTTTGAGGATAAGTGTCAAGTGTTTGAAATTTGAAAAACCATAAGACGAACTTTTCACTAGTTTATTATATTTAATTCCATTGCCTTTGATAGAAATAAATATCAAAAGTTGCTGACTACTGGAGACCATTTATATTAGAATGAATCTAACTGCTTTTGGCGTTCACTGAGATTAGCTAAAACAAAATCAGAATTCTTTTCCTTATGAATTTATTTATCAGTCAGTCAGTAATTTATCGACTATGGTAATTTATCCACGATGAAATTATTGGTTGCAAAGCTATAATTTCCTTTCACCTCGTTTTTTGCCTATCAATTTTGCAAAATTTTAATTTTATTGATTCAAAGCGTTATCACTACTATCACTATAAAGGTTATTTGGTTATCAAATCAGAAACTTATCAAAAATTTCTCTAATTTCTTTAATTTCTCTTTAATTTATTTTTTAGAGTAATGGTTCAACATATTGTGGATTAATTGGAGGAACAGCTAGTGGAAGTTGTAGCAATTCATCGGTTCTTGCGACTTGTTCGTTAAGTTCAGTTCCTTCAGTTCCAGGTTTTACAATTTTTTTTTTAAGTTAGCATTTCCATGAAATATTTTAAAAATATTGAATTAATTTTTTAAGGCGGCAATGCATCGGTTATGCATGGTGATTGTTCCCAGTCGCGTATGTCAATGCACAGTAATAATAGCAGTGGTAGTTCATCACTACCGAACAATACTGATTTTGCAGATGAAAACAATTGCAGCAGTAATTTTTCGAGCCCTCAATGCAGTGATTCTTCAAGCAACGTAAATGATATGGTACTAAAAGGAATTCCGGTATATTTTTAGTTTTTTATTTTTTATCATATAATTCTCAATTATTTTATCATCTTACCTCAGCTTTTTTCTGCCACCAGTATGGTATGTCATTTCGACTTAAGCATCGTACTTAAGGATAAGCTTATCACTAAAGATGGAATTCAAATGGTATTGAAAGTATTATCGCCGTTTGACTGTTAAACTCCCAATATTATCTAAATTTTTGAAGGATAATTAGATTTATTCCGCTGACATACAAGATCAGGTAAATTTTGCCAGGAAACCATTTAGCGATACAAGTGAATCACTAATACTAGTCGGAATTTTGGAATTTTAAATGGGTTTATTCCTGCCGAGAGTAGAATAAAAGCATTGAAAGCCTTCCAGCGATTTTTTGATCTCTAGTTAGTGGAAGCAGCCACATATAGAAGACAGAAGCTAATAAAAAAAAAATGTGTTGTAATGATATTTATTTTAGGAAGCTGAAATTTTGGCTTTATGGTTGGATAAGCTCGGTATGTCCGAGTATTTGAGCTTATTTTTCACACAAGGCTATGATTTGTCGACTATTGCTCGTATAACTCCTGAAGATTTACTGGCACTCGGTATTACTCAGCCAAAACATCGCAAAATACTCATTGCAGAGATTCATGAGTGGCATATTGCGGATCCTTGGCCACTGTCTGTACCATCTAATGATCTCAAGTATGAATTAAATCGCTTTGATAGAATTTATTTAGTAGAAAAAATTCAGAAATCGAATTTTTAAATCATAGTCTTAATCCTTAAATTTTATTATTTTGCTCGTTTAGGGAATGGTTGTCATTGATTGGTTTACCCGAATATTATGCAGTGTTAACTTCTCAAGGTTATTATTCTGTTAGTGAAGTTGAAGGATTGACTTGGGACGACCTAGAAGACATTGGTATTAAGAAATTGGGACACCTTAAGCGATTTGGTCTCGCCATCAAAAAATTAAAGGTTTTAATTATAAACAATAATTCTAATTTTGAAAAAATTTCGCATAAAAAATTTATTTTTAAAAATAATGGTTTTCCATTATCTAATGGTTATTCAATTTAATTACTCGAAATAATAAATAATAATTTTAGGATTATCAAAATGGTAGATTGGGTCGTCTGGAAAATAGTTTACGAATGATTCCTGTTGGAATTCAACAGCAAATCCGCAATAATTCAATGGTTCATTTTTTTTTTATGTTTTGGGGCTTTTTAAAAGGATTCTTAAAGAGAAATAGAAGCGAATCTATTCGAAATAGAGAGAAAATCAGGCCTAACCATTTGGTTGCAGCTAGAAAGAGTGGCGGAAAAACGATACAATCAAGGAGTTCCACCTCCAGCACCATCATCGGCTTTCCAAGCATCTAATCAAGTTGATCCTTACAAGACATGGAATCGTTGTTCTCGGCCACTATGCTCCGGCTATACTCTGAAAAGTGAAACACCAAAACCAACAGTTCAGGTTCATACTTGCGTTTTTTTTTGCAAAAATTCTTTTACATTCTCTACAAATATTTTAATGTTAGAAGGACCTGAGGAAGCGAGTGCAGAATTTGTTAGCGTACTGATTAAAAATAGCCAGAAGCTAGAAAGATTACAAAAAGATTCCAGTAGGAGCAGAGATTTTATAGCCTATAAATGAGTGGTGTTTCGTCCAAAAATTAATAATTTTTTGATAATTTTTATTTCGATTTTATTCGATTTGTGAATGAAGTTAAGAATGATTAATCTCAGGTATTTCCCCATTATCGGTCGCGCTCACCATCTGATGACTTTAAGAATTCAATGAAACCAATCAAGAAGAATTCTCTACCACTTTTTGATACCCAAGTTGATAAAAAATCTATGCGCTTGAATTTATGTTCATCATCACGTATTCTCTCCGATCGTTATGAGCATAATAACAATGGTTTACTATCGGAAAACTCGCCAGTTTGCGCAGATAAAACCAGTCTAGATGGTACAGTTTTATCCGATTTGGAGGATTATCCACCACCGCCAGGTTTTTTTTTTGTTTTATGACTCCCAAAAGGCGACAAATACTTCTTAGATTAAATTGTTATTATTTTATTATTATTTTATCAGACATAATGTTTACATTAAGAGGTATCATGAAAAATGACAAATGAAATGAAGGTAGAGAAAAACTGAAAGGGCTGAAAAAGGAATTAGAGAAGATGTGGAAAGTAGAAGCCAAAGTAATTCCAGTGATAATTAGAACGGAAACAAGAAAAAAATGGCAGGTTCTAGGAACAGCGTCTCTATCCAGAGGAGGAGTTACTAAGATACTGCGAAGATTCCTCAAACCCTCCTAGGCCTTTTGGAGAGAATCCGACTTAATTTTGTTTATTAATGATATTTCAGCTCCATTAGTTTGCGAAGGTTCAATACGTCTATTGAGAGCATTTCAAAATGCACCAGAAAATGCATTTCGAAGCGGTGATTCAAGTAGTTCGAGTATGGAGCAGATTCCATTTGCAAATGATAATTGTGGAACAATACGAAGTCGCGATTCGCAGCTGGTTTTAAAATCCAATAATAGCGTATCACATCCATGCACTCCGAGAAGAAATATTCATAATGTTTTTATCGACGATATGAATGTGGACAGTGGGTAAGTGGTGCCATTTTTTTGGTTTTAACGCGGGTGGAATATATTTTGGAAAAAAATGGCTAAATTTTATTTTTACAAAAATTTATAATTCGTCTAATTTAATATATGCCGCTTTAGCTAGCACCACTGATTACTAGACCAACTCTTAGTGGAACCAGTGGGTCAAATGTAGTGATAGGTCTTCACAATCTATTCTATTTTCAATAATAGGTTTACCCCTATTAAAGAGAAAGAATGATAGGAATTACCGATAAATGTGATGACATGATTAGAATGAAAAATTTAATTATGCTACATTTTAGGTTTTTTATTTATTATAGGATCTGCATGTTTTTGCTGCCTCAGGCAAATATTGCTTTTTTAGTTCTCTTGGAGAAATTTGATGGTCATGAATTAAGAAATAATTGTTTATGTTCGTTCCTTTGCGAAAAAAAGAAGTTTTTTCGGAAAAAGTGTAGAAAGTAAATGAACATATTAATTAATTAATTAGAATTATTACTATATAGATTTTTGTGGCGTGAACCTCTCCAAAATGCTACTCATCGGGTGGATGCCTGGTTATCTTCCATTAGCTGTATCCTTGCGTGGTGATTTAGCGCACCACATTTTGCATATTAGTGAGAGATGTTTTCTGTAGAAACCATATGCAAACTGGTATTTATAGTATTTATAAATTGGTTTTTATAGTATAGTATTATATAGTATTTTTTTTAAACAATAAAGATAAAAATTTATTTGAAAAATTTTTTAACTTTTTTTAAAAATTTATTTTTCTCTTCTTTTTTAAATTTTTTTTTTTACGAACCAACTAAATGCCGAAGTGGTTTTTCAGTTTTTCAATGAATAAACGAGGAAACGTACTGAACGATATCGGTTGTATGTTGCAGAATTTGACGGACGAACTTGACGCTATGTTAGTTCCAAGCCAAACGATGCGATTTCCATCGATGTGATTATTATTTATATTCGCCTCGTTATTTCCAAAATTTCTAGCGATTCTAATTATTGCAGTTGCAAATTGTTATTTTTCTGCTTAATTAGCATTGTAGTTTTAATTCAGCATTAGCTTTTTTTTTTCTTGTGATTCTTAAATGAAAGTTTTTCATATAATATAATATATTTTTCATAATTTTATTCATATTTTTTGAGTGGTGTATTATAAAAATTCGTCATTCTAAAACGATTAACCTGTGGTACCATGCGAGATGATTGTTCACGACTGACTATTCGTTCTTCTAAATGCCCTTCTAGTTAGGCTTATTCTACTGGCTTGTCGGAGTGGGTAAATCTCGCCAGCGAGTCACAGAGAGAAGAACAGTCGTGTGTGAGTCGTTCCAACAAGCTACCTAATAAGCCATTCATTTCTCATTTATTTTCTTAGTATTTCTTTTTATTTTTTAAATATTAATAAATTTTTTAAATAATAAATATTAATAAAGATCGGGTGAAAATTTTTTCTTTATTTATGTAATTTTTTTGTTATTCTATGAAATTTTAAAATATTTATAAAATTTATAAAATTTTCTTTTGTTTCAATTTTAATAAAATTTAAATATCCTTTCTTTCGAGAGGCTAAAAAAATTTTATCAATACGATAATTTTTCGTAAAAATTATTTTTCGTTTTTTTCGATATTTTTCGAATCGAAATCATATATTAGTGTGGTTTTTTTTTTTTTTTTAAATTTTCCCTTTCTCTATTTGAAACGTTATTTTTCATTTTTCATTCGTGTTCCTATCTCATTGCCTTACTAATATTGGTCATCATTAATGAGTATTGTCACCGATTTTTCACCACTCATAATTTATCATTGTACTGTTAAAAAAAGGTTTCTGATAAATCTTCTATTATCACGCAATATTCCATGTTAATCTAATTTCTTTTTTTTTCCGTTTCTTATTAATAGTCGTAAAATCTGTCATCCATCAATCTTTTCTATATTATATATGTATGCATCTTTATTTCTTTCTTTATCAATCACTAAGGATCAATCAATTGTGATTGAAACTGATAACCAAGGATTATCTATGATTATGAAAAAATTCTCATGTTTTCTTTCAGCAACACATATTTCATATAAATTTTTTTTTTCTTGTTCATTTTTCTTTTTATTCATAATTTTATAATAAAATTTAACTTGTCACATCAATTATCATAGATGTGTATTTATTATAAATAACGATTTATTCGCGTTTATTGGTATTTATTGTATTTATAATAAAAATGACTACAATATTTTTATATTTTATTATAATAAATAATTATAAAAAAATAGAATAAAAATTTAAAAATTTGATAAAACAACTTTTTTCACTTTCAAATATGCTAACAAAACTGATGATGAAATTGAGATGATAAGTTTTTTTTTTGCTTTATCTATAGCATCTCATCACTTATGTCACTATATGGAATTGAATTATGTGTTTTGGACGGGGGATTTGGATCAGAACTAGAAAGAAATGGATTTGAAATTCAAGTAAAGCAGTTAAATATATTTTGATAATTTTTTTTTTTATTAGAGTTAGTTTTTTTTTATTTTTTCATTTGGTTGATTTCGATTTTAATTTTGCAGAATGACCCGCTATGGAGTGCTGCAGCAATAATTGATAATCCTAATTTGGTGGTCGAAATTCATAAAAGGCATGAATCAAATCAAAATTAGTGAATAAATTAATAATAAATTTAAAATAAAAAGTTCTAATTTCGTCAAATTATCGCATCGCATTTGATTGTACCTGGTTTGTTATTTGGCTATTATTAGCTTTATTAGCTTTTAATATTAAAATTCGATACTTTTGTTAGAGAATTTATTAGAGATAAATATAAGGATGGGCCTCGAGTGGTCACTCTTTCACTCTTATCACTTATCAAAGAATCAAACCCAAGTAATTTTACCCTCAAGCGATATGATTCAAACAGTCTTGAGAATTTTACAACAATATATTCCCAGTGGGCATCATATTTTTTTTACTGAATTCTGAAATTGCTCAATGAGAATGAGCTTATGGACCGATTGAACTTGCATTCCTATAAGTGTCAGGTCTTGTTTAGCAAATTTTTCATAACAGGAATAGGAATAGGATAGTGGTAAATGGAGCAATCAAATAAGAAATTGAATTAGAATTCGAATTTTTTATAATTTTTAAGGTTTATCGAAGCTGGTTGTGATGTGATTCTAACCAATACCTATCATGCTAATATTCAGACAATGAGAGAATCTCGTAATTTGAATCAGGAGGAAGCGGAAAATATAATTATGGTATGGTTAGGGCGTAAGCCTGTTAAGCCTCTCGATTCTATACCATATTTGAAAATAACATAAATAGCTTTATAAAATAACATAAATAAATAGCTTTAGTTGTTTTTTATCTTGATAAGAGTTTCTCTCCCGATAAGAGAAATTGCAAATAAATTTCGCTACCGCAATGATATCGAATTTGCCACATCCAAATGAAGTAATAACTGATATTTTTCTTCTTCTTCTAAGAGCTCTCACCATTACTAGTTACGCTGGTTTCAATGGCTACAAGAGTAAGACGGTTCCAAGCGATGCGGTCTGATGCCATTATCGGCAATAATAGAAGCCATTCCTTTTTCCATCGTCTAAGTCCATATATTGCTGGTCCACCTATACGTTCAAAACCTTTTTTCACCGTATCAGTCGAAATCTTGATTGGCCCACCTCGCTTTTGACGCCAACCATCACATGATTTAGCAAATAACGAAATATGCGTCAACTCCTGTGGTGGATAACGGAGAATGTGCCCTAACCAGCGAAGGCGGCGCTGATAAAATTATTTATGCAAGTGGTATTTGAACGAAGATGGATGCGATCTTGTGATATTTTATCCGCTGGACGAATCCGTAATATGTATTTTAGACAAGAGTGGTTAAAGGCAGATAGATAATTTCTTAATATCCTCCACTCTCATTGGCCATATCTCAGAACCATATAGCAAGATCGAATGGATCACGGCTATATAGATGCGAACTTTCGTTTTTATGGTGATTGCATAAAGATTTCGTCAACCGGAAGAACGCATTTCTAGCTGCCGTAATCCGAGTTGTAATATCATCTTTTGCTTTTTGCCTGTTTATTTGGTATTAGAGCGGACCTAAAGTATTTGAAATCGAGTATTGTGTCAACCGGCAATAACTGATATGATAAATTGATAAATCGAGAACTTAATGATGATAATAATAATGATACATAATAATGATAGAATCTCTTAAGATTAAGATATTAAAAAAGAAGGAAAGACGATGTTTTAAATTAACTTTTAAGATAATGATAAAGTAATCTTAATATCTTTATTCATTTTCGAAAATATCCAAATGGCAAAATTTGAATTTCATTCGTTCAAGAAAAAAAAAATGATTTTTTTTTTTTTTTTTTAGAAATCTGTTGGATTAGCTCGACGTGCAGTTCGAGAATGTTCCTCTTCTCGTCCAATTCAAATTATCGGTGCCATTGGTTCATATGCTACAATTTTATTCGATGGATCAGAATATAATGGTCATTATATTGATACAATTGATGAAAAAGTTAAGAATTTTTTTTTTTTTCATTCAAATACAGTTTTAATTCTTGTAGATTGTGGTACATTCTTCTTTTTCTTCTTCTTCTTCGTTTTCGAACTTTCCAATTTTCTCACCACTAATTTTTTGCAGACTGTAGTCGATTATTTTCTGCAACAGTCGAAACCACTTTTACAAGCAGATTTGAAAATCTTAGCATTCGAAACAATTCCAGCGTTTAAAGAAGCGTTATGCATTTTGCAAGCGCTTGATAGAATGCCGGATGATATAAAATGTTGGATTTCATTTTCATGCAAAGTTAGTTAAGCTTAATTTATTTTTTTTTATTAAATTATTTTTTCTGATAGTCATTCTAAATCATTCTATGATCATCAAAATCAAATATTATTGCCAAATATCAAATATTAATATTATTAAATATATTAAATATATAAATATATTAAATATGCATCTTATCTTTATAAAAATATTATCAAAAATGATAAAAATTAACTCGCTTCACTGGTTTATCATATGAGACAAATATGCCAAAGAGCCATTATAATAGAAGTATATTTGAGGTGCCCAGTATCCCAGTAGGATTTTTGAACAAATTTATTTCTGCGAGAAATACAATTATGCTTTGCTTTTAGAATGGTCAATTAGTTAATCATGGTGAAAATTTTGCTGAATGCGTGAAGAAAATCATCGTTCATCCAAAATTGATTGCAATTGGTTAACAGTTTTTTTTTTTTCTTTTTTGACTGATTAAATCTTTTTATTCTTTTCACTCATATATGAATATTTATTTTTGACGCTTTTTTTTTGTCTTTTTTATAGAATTTTTTTTTTAGGTGTAAATTGTACAAAACCAAGTTTTATAACTTCTTTGTTGAATTCGGCACAAAAATATTTGGGTGAAAAATTTTTTGTCGTCTATCCGAATAGCGGTGAAAAATATGATGCGAAAACAAAAAGGTCTTTTTTCGATCAAAAAGAAAAGAAATAATTTAAAAAAATTCTAAAAAAATAAAGCAAAAAATTTGCATAGCTTTTAAAACGAATGTGGTACTTTCAAAAGGTTTATCTCAGTAATATTTCTTCTATTTCATGTTTCTTCTATTTCTAATTTTTTAGCGCTTAGTATGATTCTTTTAAAATAGTTTTGATATACATATATATTTATAAATTTAAAATACAGGTGGCTTCCTCCTGAAGACGAGGATATTGATTTCGATAAAATGATTCCGGAATGGAAGACTCTAGGAGCAAAACTAATTGGTGGTTGTTGTCGTATGAAGCCTGAAGATATTCGAAAAATATCAGCAGTTATTGCTTTCCTTAATAATAAATCGTAATCTATATCCGACCGATTCTGCTGTTTGTCTTCATATATTATTTTGAATTTTATCTTACTGATGAATCAATATTAATCATTAATGGTGTATGTTAAATTAAATAAATCTTATCATTATTTTAACAGTTATTTTGAGATTTTAACAATAAAATATTAACGATAATAGAAAAAAACAATAAATGATAATTGTTTTATAAAGAATTTTACAAATTTTCCGTGATAAGATGCTTAAAAAAGAAAAAAAAAATGGAATAAAATCTTTGGAGAAATTTTTTAAATTTTAATGATTTAAAGAAAAATTTTTTTCTTAAAATTCCTAAATTTCTTTTTCTATTATCATTCGTGAAATATGCATCTTATCATTATAAAAAATCGAAAATTAAAAATTCTAAAATCAGATGGCAATTATTTTAATTAATTGTAATTCAATAATTACAAAAAATATCGTTACGATCTCCTATACAACATATTATTGGATTGCGATCATAGCATTCTTCGTGGATATGTGGACATTTTCCTTTTCCTTTTAAAAAGATGTTTCAAAGCTATTTGATAATCTCGATTGAATACCTTCAAAAAAAAATATTGGTGATGTTTATCATTATTGTTATCATTATCGCTGTTTTCATTCTTGTCAATTAGTTATTATCGGTATCAATATTATCATTAATAATTAATTGCTGTTGTTCTTAATTATTATTATTAAGTATTAAATATTTTTGTTATTAATATTATCTTCATTAATTAAATCATTATTTTCATATAAATCATTATTTTTTTATTTTACTTTTTAAATATTTTTTTAAATTTAAATTAATATTGTCATATCATTATTAATTATTAAATATTGTTATTATAATTACGAAATATATTTTTATTATTTTACTCAACTCATCCTAATGAAAAACAAAATTTACAGTATAAATAATAGGATTCATAGCTGAATTACTATAGCCAAGCCATGTGATAAACATTTCAATATGTTGATTCGGTGAACAATTCGAGCAAAATTGAACTAATACATACATTCTAAATCATTGAATTTTATTAATTTTTTATTAAATTTTAAATTTTTTTTAAATTTTAATTTAATTTAATAAATCAAAATCAAATCCATTGATTTGAAATGTTTTATTTAATAACAAATAATATTTTTTAGAATTTTGAATTTATCAATTTAGAAATAAAAAAATACTAAAAGATTTAAATTTTTTTGCAAGAAAAACACGTTTTTTTTTAAATGAAAAAATGAAAATTACAAATCGAAAAAAAAAATTTGACTTACATAAAAAATGGCGTCCAACATATCGTAAAACATCCAAGAATTATGCCTAAAACTTTCACACCTCGTCTTTCTTTTGCTGCTGAAATTGTGTTTGGCTTACGTTCAATGCTTCTCCTCCATTTTTTTTCTATTCTAAAAAAAAAATTATTTTAGGCTTTTAGGCTTAAGGCCTTTCAGGCCTAAATAGGCCTTTATAGGCCTTAATTTGAGAAATCACGATTTGAGTCGTTTTTTTTCTAAGAGATTACAATTAAGACAAATATTATAATTCCAATAGCGATACTTCGAAAAGAGATTAAAATTAAAATTCATTGAGATATATTCTATTTCCAATTATTTGGTACTTTGGATAGAAACAAAAACAGTTCTTTGGAATTTTAGTTTTAATTTTGTATTTTATATTTTATATTTAAAAAAAAAAAACGAACTTTTTTTTGCATTGCTGAATATGTTCCATACTAAGTCGTTTTTTAGTTAATTTAAATAAATTTTCTTCTTTTTTCGATTTTATTGATGGAATATTTCTTGCATAATTATTTCTTATTGTTGGATTCCGCCATGTTTTCCTTGCTTGACTATCATTTAAAGCATCGATTTCCACTGATTCTTGATATGTCTTAATTCAAAGAAATAAATTTTATTCAATTGTTTTTTTTTTAAAAACAAACCAATTTATTAATAAAAACTTTTCTTTCACTCTCTCCTCCCCACTCTCCTCTCCCTCTCGCCCTCCCCGAGGCTTAGACTCAACTATTCTTAATAGTGCGCTCTTCTGAATAGAGATTTCTGATATTATTCCTGTAACATGCTTCTCTAGTTTAGGGATCATAGTTCCAAGTACTCCAATATAAATACTCCAATAAACATATATATATATATACTTCATTCTGAGCCGCTCCTTGATATTCGATGTAACTGATTTCTTCGAGACTGCTATCTTTTTGTTTGCCTATCTTGAAATTTGATGGACTATTTGAATCTTAAAAATTTCCATAGATATAAATATGTAAATAGTAAATCCATGAAACTAATTTTGAAGTGATAACATAATAATAATATGGTCATTTGAAAAAAAAGATTCATTCATTTTCTTAGTTCATTGGAGATTAAAAAAATAACAAACCACTTGGATTGCCACGATCTGTTTCCTTTTCACAGTAATCCTCGTCAACTTCTTCATTTTCCTCATAAACACAATCATCTATCAGATGTTTATCATAGTCGTGCTCTGTCAAAGGAAGGACGTTATTTATTTCATGAAGGATAGTTGATTCAATATGTTTTCTTATCACCTGAAGGCAATCAATATCTTAATGTTTCAATGATAAACTTTTTATAAGGAAAATCTTGCAAAATCTTATCAAATATGATCTCATCAAAAATTTTGCAATAGATAAAAAGAGAAAAAAAATAAAAGTCATTAAAAGAGCATTGAACAAAAATTATTAGTAAATTCATTGATAAAATATTATCACTGAAATAAAGCAACAAAAGAAAAATAGAGAATTAACAAAATATTATTGGCTTTCGATTCTAGCTTATTTTTCTGTGCCACCTAAGTTTTTTATATTCAAACCCATCTTATCTGTATTCCTCATTCGTTCATTTTATCAACTCAGTTGATCCCTATAAAAATTCCCACAAATTTGCCTAGTTACAACTAATTTGTTTCTCGAATAAGCACAATTTTTATCATTTCTCTATTTTTTATTAAAACTATAGCGTTTGATATTTTCACAATTCAAGGAATTGAATTCAATTTTGTCGATCATTTCATAAAATAATTAATGGCCAGGAGAGCCATTGGACAAGGCCACTTGAAAGCTTATTTACTTACGTCAATCTTCCAAGCCTCTAATAGACGATCCATGGTTGGAGGGTAATCCATTCCATCCACACAAAGAGAATGGAATTTCAGCTAACGATTTGTACTTTTTTAAATTTCTTATATTCTTTTTTTTTAAATGAAATTTGAACAATAAATTTTGAAATAAATAAATTTTATTTTATAAAATTAAATAAATTATTAATGATTAATAAAAATAAAATTGAATTAAAATTAGCATAAATCAAATTTTTGCCTAAAATGTGCAGTGAATAGCATATTTAATGTAGATGAAATAAATTTAATCTTGTAATTTTTTTTTTTTTTTTTTTTTTTTTTTTTTGTGTGGGGGGGGGGGGGGGGGGGGGGGGGGGGGGGGGGGGGGGGAGTGGAAATAATGCAAAATGCCTTGCTGATATGCCTAAGTTTTCGTATCGTCTTATCTGAGCAAAATATAAATGCAAATCAAACGCATCGAAGTTTATTACTGCTTATAAACTTCTGCTTCAATTTTTAACATCTAACTGCCAATGAAATAAAATATAAAATCAGCCAGAATACAATTTTTTTTTGAATCTAATCTGACCTAATTATTACTAAATATTGTAATTTTATAAAATAAAGTAAAAATTTTTAATTTTTTACTTTTCAGGCTTTTTTGATAAGGCAAATCGTGTAAGCCGTGTAATTTTGCAAAATTCGCCGAATTTTTATTTTCATTATTATTATTACTAATTACTACCGTTTATTATCATTAATTATCATTATCATTATCATTGTTTATTATTATTTATTACTTTTTATTATCATTATTACTGATTATTATTACAGTTATTATTATTATCATTATTGTTACTATTATTATTATTACTATTATTATTATTTTAATAATTTTTTACTTATTTTTCTTTAAAGTACATTTATTCATATCTGTATTCATGTTTCATTTCATTATTTATATTATAAAAATGATCATATATCACGCAAAATTTCATTAAATAATCAAGATAAGCCAAATTACATCTAAATGCAATCAACATAGTAAATTTCATGAAAGTGGCTCATTTATTTCAATTGTTAAATTTTTCTTATATGTTTCAATTTTCATAAGGATTTTATCATAATTTTATAAAAATAATTTAATAATTTGAATCGAGGAAAATTTTTGGATTCTGAAAATATGTACTATTTTAAATTGCCTTTTTAGTATTTTTAATATATACACACATACGAAGATTATTAGGCGAAAATAGAAATGAGAAAACTATTCGAAAATTTTCATCCAAAATGAATTTATTTTATACGTTTTAAAAAAAATAGAGAATAATAATTTTTAGAAAAAATTGAGGCATTATGGAAAATCAAAAATATCAAAAATAAATATATATACGAAGTTTTCAGGAAAATTCTTGGAACAATGAATCTGCTTGCAAATCACTATGGATTACGTTTTTAGACTTATACTTCTAGGCCATTATGATGCCTTAAGGCTCGTCTACTAGTTCATCAACTGTGATATGATATTATTTCCAGGCTAATGCACTATTGTATTATAGTGCCAATACTTCTGAACTTAATAACTATTGATTTCATCAATTATAATATTATTTCTAGGCTTATTAATTATTAAAGATGTTGCTTCTAGGCTGATGCTGTACTATGATGCCTTAAGGTAATTTATACTTCCAGGCTTTCCGATCATTGATCTCATCATATTCTTTCTATTCAAGGCTTATTACTAAGTTTATCAATAATTTTTTCAATTTTTTTCCAGTTGTTTTTTTATTTTTCTCAGTATTCTTTTGTTGATAAAATATAAAAATTTCATTATTTTTAATGCTCAAAAATTTTTCTATTAAAAAAAATTTCTACAAATAAACTTTAAAATTAAAAAAAATATGAAATGAAAAAAATGAAGCGAGAATGAAATTCAAATAAATTAAAATTTTTAATCTGCTTAATTTATGAAATCTTCCATTCCCTTAAAAATGATAATGTGATAATGATAATGAATTTATTATTCATCAATAAATTTAATGTGATAATAGCGAAAAGTTGAGTTAAAAAGAAAAGAAAGATAAAAAGACGAATCGAAAATCTATGAAAAATAAATATTGAACAAAAGCTAATCCTTCTTTAATTTCTTTCCTTCAAACACTTCTCTATAATGAAATGCTTTTATTAATAAAAATGCCATATTTTAAGAATTTTTTTTCAAAAAAAATTTCTAGCAATTAGTAAAAATTATATTTTTTAATAATAATTCTGATTTAATCTTATTTCACATAAAAATTTTCGAAGAAATATTTATTTTATTTATTTACAAAATTTTTATTCTTTGATTTACCTTAAAATAAAGTTTTTTTTTTTTAGATAATTTATAACTTTTCAAATATTCATAATTTTTAATAATAGATTTACGCGTCATTAGTTACATCACTGCACATTTATAACAAATTACGATTGAGAAGAATTTTTCTATTTTCTCCAATTTTTCAAAATAGCTTCATTAAAAAAATAATTAATTTTTCTTCCTATTAGCTTTTTTAAATTGTAGCTTTTTTTCTTGAAAAAAGAAATATAAAATAAATATATTAGAAAAAGTTAGCAATTTTAAAAAAGGAATTTATGCTAAAAAACTTTTTTCATTAGTAATTTTATTTTATTAGTAATTAGTTTTTTTATTATTACTAATTTAATAATAAAAATAATGAAAATTTACGATTGAATGCAATTTTTTTAAAAACTACAATTATTATATTTTATAGATGCAAATAATTAGTAAAAACGAAAGAATTTTTTCTTTAACTCAATTTTTCGCTCATATCACATTGAAATTAATGATAATTGATAATTGACAGAGTTCGAATTTTTGAAAGAGAATGGACAATTATAATTAAAAGTGAAACCACAGTTTTGCGCTGCAAAATGTAAGCAATAACTCGCTGAGCAATTCCATTTCAAAAACAATAATAATAAATAATAATAACAATAATAATAATGATAATAATAATATTAATAATAACAATAATAAAAATTTACGATTAAATGTACTACAATTACTATAATTTTATAAATAAAAAATACATACCTTTTGACGATAAATCTGACGCGCTTTATGTTTAGCAAATGCTTGATAGATTTTATAATAAACAAAAAACATGACGATTAAGGGAATGAAAAATGAACCAGTGGCACTATAAACAGTGTAAGATGGTAGATCGAGGAATACACATTGCCAAGTATTATTAATTTGTATCATATTACCTCTTTCGGCAATCTAAAATATTTGAAAAATTTTAATTAAAAAATGGAAATTTATAAATTTTTTTTCTATATTAAATTGATTTTTTTTTATTATAAAATGATTATAAATTTTTATAAACCTGTTTCCAGCCTAATAATGGTGCGAGGCTAATAAGTGCTGATGATGCCCAAACAGAAAGTATCATAAGAATTGCAGTTTTCTTATTTCTTTTCGTCATATATGTTGTTGGTGCTGTTATCGCCCAATAACGATCTAAGCCAACTATTGAAAGATTCCATATTGAAGCTGTAGAGCATAGTATATCAGCTAAAGAAAAATAATAATTAAAAAAATAATAATAAAATAATAAATAATAGAAAATAATAATATTTTAACAATTATCATTATCATTTTGGTTTAATCATATTTTCTTGAGCCCTTTTTTTTAGAAATAAATAAATAAACGAATTAATTAACGAATTTAAATAGATTTGTTGGATAGAAATGATTTTTAAAAAAATTAAATTGTTATATGATAAAAATAAATATTGCAAATATTTTATATTATAAATAAATATAATAAATATAATATAAAGTATTACAAGTAAATAAATATAATAAATGCAATATAAGTGGTTAAATAATAATGTAGTGGAAAATGATGAATAAAAAAATATATTTATATATAAATATATTTTTAAATTTTAAATTTTTTGCTTAATGTGCAGTTAGAAATTTCCATATATTTTTGCAAAATTCGCTTCTATATGCTTAGTATGAGCGAGTCGATTATTAGCTTTAGGCGATCTTTTTTCAAGGACTCATTCCGGAAAAATAATCATTTTAACGGTTCAGGAAAAACATTTCGGAAAAATAAATATGCGCCAATATTTGAATTCCAGTTGCATATCATTATTTTTACCAGCAATATTTATATTATCGGTGAGAATGTAGAAAATTAGAAAAAAAATAATTTTTTAATAATAATTTTTGTTTATGATATTCCCCTTAAAAAACAAATTTATGCGTATAATCCGTATACGTTTCTAAAATCAAAAATTTTTGATTTATGAAGGAAATCCTTTTTTTTTCATATAAGAAAGATAAAGCTTATAATTGCTATCGTTTAGCATCACTTCAGAAAGTTTATTATTGATTTTAGAATTATCGAAGAAAAGATAAGTAATGAATGAATTGGCGATTAGGTAAGTAAGTAGGTAAGCATATTATATCCGTTTTTTCTAAAAAAAAATATTTGATTTTTTTATTCTAAAAAAAAATATTCTAAAAAATATTTAATTTTCCTTTTTTTCATAAAAAATTTTGTATTTATTGAATTATTTCTAGTAAATTTATTATATTTTTATCATTTATATTTTATATTTTTAAATTATCATTATTGCAATTTTAAAAATTTGAATAAAATAAACAAAATTAATAAATAAATAGAAATAAAATAAGTTAAATAAAAAAAGATAAGCAAACTAAATGATTTTAGTGGATGATAATCAATTGAATGATGAGTGATAATGGATGATAATTCTATGATTATTATTACAATTTTATGGTTACTTTACTGGCTTTTACTTAAAAATGATAAGAAATGGAAAGAAGTGGAAATAGCGAAAGAAAGGTAATTAATAATTGTGCATAATAATAATAATAGCAATAATAATAATAATAATAAATATAACGATAATATTAATTATAAATAATTGCGTTTATATTAATTTTTTCTTTTATTTTTTTTTATTAAATTACAAAATTGAGCAGCTTAAAGTTATAATTTTAGTAGCGCCGTTAAAAATTTTTCATTAAATCAAAAATTTTTTAAGTTTTTTTTTTTTTTAAGAATATTCATCATTTATGGTTCTTTGACTTGTTGAATCAAACAAATTTTGCCAGGAAATCGTTTTTGACAATAGAAATCGCTCGAATATCATTCGAAGCATCCATCAAAATAATAATTGCATTTAAATAAATAATTTAATAAGTAAAATCAGGAAAAATAAGCTAAAATATTGCTTAGATTATCGGAAATAATAAATTTTTTTCCATCGCATTTAATTTAAGCGTAGAAGATTTAGCGTAAATATTCAATGAATCAATTTTTTTATTAAAATTTTCATTTTATTTTTATAAATTATATATTAGAATTTTATTTTTATAAATTGTATAATAAAATTATAATTTTCGAAATTATCATAAATAATTAAGTTGAATTGTTAGTTTTTCATTAAATAATTTTTTTTTTTTAAATAAAAATACTATTACAACTAATTTAGTCAGTGTCAGCTTTTTAATCAGTGTAAATTAGCGTATAATTTAAAGAAATGAAATTGTATCTGCAAAATAAATGAATGTTTAAAATAGATTTCAATGATAAAACAATAGATTAAGAAAATAAAAGAAAAAAAAGGAAATTTTAAAAATATTTCCTGAAATTTCGTCGCCTAAATAAATATAAATAAATATACACATAAATATATAATAAGTATATATATATAATAAGTATATATATATATATATATATAATAAGTATATATACATATATATATATATATTTTCATATGCTATGCAATCTCCTAGGTCTCTGATAGAAGACCCAAAGTTTGAGGAAAAATTTATGACCTACCTACGAGAAGGTTTTTTTTAATATATTTAAGAAAATATGATAAGACTTTTTAGTGATTAAACTAGAAATATAATAAAAATTGTAGTAAAAATTAGTCGAAAATCAACTAATTTTTTTTCCCCTTCTATCATAGCAATTTTTATTGATAATTTAACAAATAACAAATTCACAAACTAAATAATAAACTAGTATTCATTGCAGCTCATTGGTTTTTCCGCAATAATTTGATTTCTTTTTTTTTTTTTAAAGAAAAAAGAATGGATAATAATATAATAGATGAATTTCTAGAAGGAAGGAATCACATGAAAAATCGAATTTGCAAGAATAAATGAAAATCAAAATAAAATAAAAATAATAAATGCTACGAATTTAGAATGAATATATTATTGCTAAAAATGATTAATAATTATTAATAATTCTAAATAATTCTATATAATAAATTATATGAATTCGTAATGTAATTAAATTAAAAAACTTTAATAATTAATATAATATAAATTTTATATATAATATAAATTTGATAAGAAGAAATTATAAAAAAATTCTCACCTGAAACAAAAACAACGCAAAGTGTTGAGGTGAATAACCATTCACCAGCAACAACATAAATTGAAGAAAGTGGTAGTACGATAAGTCCAAGGCACAAATCACTGAAAGCAAGATTCGCCACCTAAAAATAGATATTTTTAGGTATTTTTAGGTATTTGATATTTTTAATAAAAAATTAAAAATTCGTATTATTCTTCAATTGTTGTCCTACATTACAAACATTTCTATTGATTAAATTCTTTTAAATTATCATTTTATCAAATTATCATTGTTATCATTATTAAAATTATCATTTTACTACAATTTTTACCATATTTCTAGTTTTATCACTAAAAATTCAAAAAAATAAATTTCTAATATTTCTAAGGTATATATATATACCTTATATTATATGTGTCATATAATTAGAGACAGATTGATTCAACGTTTTAATTCTATGGCAAATAATAATACCTATTTAAATAATAATGATGTAAGATAGAAGAAGAAGGAGTTGCAAAATTTCGTTAACACACCGGCTTCATGAAAAGATTTTGTACTATAAAAAATGAAATAAATATAAACGAACCAATAGATTTGGAACGGTTTGTAATCGAGGATTCTTATATAAGACAACAAAAACTAGTGAATTAGCCGCAACGGTCCATAAAACGAGCATTGCAAGGGCTGTGCCTTTAAACGATTGAAATAAAATATTTGAATTAATATCATATGAATACATTATTTCGCATTATCAACCTGAAATATCTTATTGTGGAACTTTAATAAATAAATAAAAAAAAAGAGTAATAACGACTAAGAGAAATTTGTAAAAGAAATATTGTCATCATGCAAAATGATTTGTGAAATGATTTGAAATGAAATGATTTATGAATTATGCAAATAGATTAGGGCAAATTTATTGAAAACGCTGCTAAAATTTGCAAAAAATTATTAATGCAAATGCCTTTATCACTATGAATGTCTTTATCACTATAAATGCCTTTATCACTATGAATGTCTTTATCACTACGAATGCCTTTATCATTGCTAAACATCGAGAATATAAATATATATATATATATACATATATTTAATTGAAAAAAATAAAAATTTTTCGACTATTTTTAAGGCCATGAAACTCAAAAGTTCATCTTTAATTTTATCAAATTCTCACTGATCAAAATCGATAAAATTTAAATTTATTCGAGTGAGAATGCATTATAATATTTTTTATTTTGGCTTTTAGCTTGGAATTGCAAATTTAGAATTCGCGAAAAAACTTGAATTATTATAAGCGATAGCGATTTTCGAAAACTTCTTGTTGGATATTTAATACGCGATTTTTTAATTAATAATAATTTTAATGATACAAATAAATAATAAATAAATAAAAATAATTAATATTAAATAATGAAATAAATAAATTTGAATAAACAATAATAAGTGATAAATAATTTTTAATAAAAATTAGCAAAGAAATAAAATATTAGAAATAAATAAATAATTTTTTTAATGTCAACGATTGCACTTAAATTTATTATTTTCGCTATTAATTATTTTTTTATAAATCTCTAATAAATGGCTAATTTCAGTAAAATTTTTCATTCATAAAATATTTATTTAATTATTCTTAAAAAGCGAAAAAAAATGCAAAAGTTCGCTAATTTTTAATTTAAAAAACATTTTTTTTCAGCAAAATTTTAAGCACTTCAATAATTATTCTCGAATTGATTCAACTTTTTTTGTTTCGTTTATGAATATTTAATATTTTGTGAATATTTTTTTAAAAAAAAAGTTATCATTACGAATGAGTGATAATGATAAACACTTTAATGTCTTTATGAGGCTTAATGCATAACGAAAATATGTAAAAACTAAAATGTAAAATATTTTGTAAAATATTTAATATTGTAAAATATTTTAAGCTAAATGAATTGAAATTATTCAATTTTATATATAAATTTTCTATCATATTTTATTGTAAGTAAATTTATATTTGTTGTAAAAATTTCTTTTAAAAAAAAATAGAATAATTGCCAAAAAATTTTTTTAGCGATCTAATGAAATTAATAAAATGATGAATATTTAGAAAAAAAAAATTTGAAGGCATCATTTTTTTTGTATTCATCTATAATTAACAATGGATATTCAAAAGTATTTTGATAAAAAACAAATAAAAATTCAATAATAAAACAATAATAATCACTAAACGCTTTCAAATAAAACTTTAGCATTTTATCACTGATAAAATTTGCCTAAATCTGAAAAAATTTTTTTTGTTTTTCTTTATATTATTACATTAAATTATATTAAATTATATTACATTGAGCTTAATTCATTTAACAATAATAATTCTGAGAATTCTTCAAATTAATTTTTATTTATAAATAATAAAAGCGTATTTTAAAAGAATAAATAGAAATTTTTTCTCTAATTTTCTCTTTTAGTAATGCTCCCTTTATTTAATTATTTTCTTAATTGGACATTTTTAAAAGAAGACAATTGCGAATATTTTTCTTTACTTTTATTTAATTGATAAAATTATTAAAAATATGAATTCTTTTGTTGCCAACAATTTTTTTTTTTTGCGCACTGCGCTAAAGAAATGAATTTAATTAACGATGAAAAAAATGAAAAACTATTGAAATATCCATAAAGTTTTTGTTTATGCGAGAAAATTTAAATTTTTGAAAATAGGAAAAAATGAGAGTAAATGATTAATTAATTATAATCTATAAATAACCTTTTAAGATAATAAAATTTTAAGTGAATTTTTATTTATTTAAATTATATTTTAAAAAATTGTCAACAAAATTAGAAAGGCTATCGATGCACAAATTGATAGAAAATCTATAGAAATTTCAGTAGTTCACAAAAAAAGAAAATAAAATCCGTAGTGTTGAATTTGAACTTTATTTGATTATTTCGAATATTTGGTAGATATGGCAGTAGTGGTATTCACACTCGAAATATTCAGTTTATTTGGCAATGATTGATTAATCTAGCTTTCAGCAATATAGTAACCTCGCTGTGGTCACTATCAAATCATTGTCACTATCGCTCATCACTATCAATGTCGAAGAGATATTGTCAATCTGTAGAATTCCAGTAGTATACTGATAATAAGCCTAATCCATATTTCCATTTAAATCTATCATTTTGATATTTTTAAAAATATAAGTGGTATAGCTCTATACTAAAAAGAACTTAAAATTTACTTCTCTTTTAGTTTATCACCTGTGGTACTTAATTTAGCAGCCAGAGTACTTTACGTGTGATATCTAACTAGAAATAATTATTTATTAGATTTCATTTTATGTGAATGGAAAAATAAAAAATTTCTTGAAAAATTTATTGTTCATCTCAATCGAATTTGAACAATTTTCTTTCTAATCTCCTAATTTTAAAGCTAAATTTTTGGATTTTTTTTTCTTACATAAAGCATATGAACAATTTTACTAAAAAAAAGAAAGATTTTTGTCGAAATAAAACAAAAGAATAAAATGAAAAATTTTTAAAAATCATTTCAAAATTTCATTTTTCAATTTTTCTTTTTTTCGCTAAAACTAAAAAAACTGTAAAAAATGGTTATTAAAGAAGAAAATAAAACTTTATTATTAAAAATTATTAAAAATTTCGTAAAAATCATTTAATATAATGCAAATTTTAAAAATTGATTTAAATATATTTCGAATATAATATATTTAATATATAAATTTAATTATTTAATATAGTTTTTTTTAAACGAATTTGGCAAAAAATTCTTAAAAACATTGCCTAATTGGTTATAAATATTTATAAATATTTGAATTTATAAATATTTGACATTAAATCAATAATAATTTAATGTAATATGAATGAATACGAATTCATTTTAAAATTCATAGTTGTATTATTTAATATATTCTTTTAAACAATTGGTAATTTAATTCATTTTTTTGGATAAACTTATAAAATAAAAAATAAATAAACAATAAAATTAATAGTTTTAAATAAAATAAAGAATAAAACAAATAAAGTACAGAATTATTTATAAAAAATAAAATAATTTTAAGTGTAAATAATAAAATACAAAATAAAATCTCGATAAAATTAAATATTTTTAGATTCTTTTACAGATTTCCTAGATTTTTATAAGTTTTTTTCATTAATTTTTTATTTATTTTTATACATTTTTATATATTTTTATATTTTTACTTGTTTCATTTATTTTTAATTTAAAGAAGATACAAACCATTTATTGGGTCCTTTAAATTCACAGATTTCCATTCTTTTTTTTTTTTTCAGAGAATCAATTGGGAATGAAAGTAGAGACAAGTAAGTTTCTCAACAACTATCACCCATAGTTCCACTTTTTAAATCACAATCCTCGTTTACGTTACGTTAAGAGATCAAAAATCGAATCGAATCTATATCGCTATTTGCCCTGCTTTGGAACCAAATTAATAATAAGATAATAATAAAGAATTCAGCGGAAATTTCCTCTAAAAAATGAAGCGAACTAATTTGGTTTGATTTTTTGATTTATGAGCAATAAAATAATCAACAATATGACATATATACGACATATAAATTCAAAAAATTTAAATATGTATAAATTTTGAATTTTAACGATAAATCATAGAAAGAATTATGTCATTTCTATCAGTTCCAGATTATCTTGTCTCCTCCATCTAGGATTTATTCCAATAGATTTTCTGAGGCTAGAAATCTCTAGTTTCACACCGCCTAGCGCTATTCCAAGAGCTCACTTGTCATCAGACAAACTTTCCTCATTCCTCAGTTTTTGACAAGGAATATAATTGTAATATTCGATGGTAGAACTTTAATCAGATCGTAGATTTTACACTATATAGCAAAAAAAATTGATAAATTATTAAATATTAAAAGAATTAATGTTTTTTAAAGCGAGCATATCCGATTAAATTTTGATTTTTCCAGAATTTTTGCAGGATAGGAGGATTTATGATTGAAGAGTTCACAGCCAAATAGAGGCGCTATTTAATTTCCACATTTTTTTTTTTTTTTAGATTTATTAATATAATTTTTTTTTTTTAAACAAGAAATTAATGATTGAAATCAATTAATATGAAAATTTCACGAAGAAATTTGATATTTTTGAACTAAAATATTCAAATTGAAAAATGAAGCCAACGATAAATTTGATAAATTATGAAGCGTGTCAAGTTGTTTTTTTTTCTTAAATTAAATGACAAAATCTTCAATCGTTCTAAAATTTTTGCAGTTATTTATCTTTTTTTTTGGATTACTTATAATTTGGTTTGCTTATTGAAGCGAATAAATTTTAACGCTATTTAAAAAAAAAAGATTCATTAAACGATGAAACGTTGGAATCCTTAAAATTTTATTCATATCTAAGAAAAAGGATAGCATAAAGGTGTAAAGGAAGATGCTAAATGGTTCTAATTTTATTTAAATCATAAAATGAACAAAAAAAAAAATTTATTATTAGCGATAAATAATAGCATTTTTTCTAATTCTAATGATCGATAAGTTAAAAGTTAAAATAATTTCTGATAAAAAAATGATAAATTTTGTTAAGAATGTTAAATGAATGTTACAATATTAAATAACAAATTTATATTATATTATATTATATTTTTACATATAAAAAAAAATATCCAATTTCAAGTAATTTCAAAACTTTCATTTTTACTTACTCTTACTTACTCTTTTAATATAATTCGTTCAATTAATCAGTCGGCTATCATTTGGTTT